CCCAATAGACCGTTTTATAGGACCTAATTTATAGGACCAAAATATAAAGTGTCATATCTAAAGGTGTTGTAATAAGTTTATATGATGCTTTTGACATCTTAACAAGTTTTTTAGAACATTTTTAATACAAAGTGTCGCATTAGCAACTTTATAGGACATTTTTGAGAAAATGTCCTATAAACTCAATTTTTTATAAGACATTTGTTTTTATAGTGTCTTATAAAGTTGCCAATGGAACGCTTTATATTAAAAGTGTCCTAAAAAACTTATTACGACATCAAAAAACGTCATATAAACTTATTACAACACTTTTAGATAAGATACTTTATTTTTTTGGTCCTATAAACTAAGTCTTATAAAGAGGTCTACTATGACGCTTAGAAATTAGGAGTGTCCTATAAACTTGATTTTGTTGTAGTGAAAATTAATCTGGTAAACTTTAACTTTTTTGGTCGACTATGTAAACTTGTATAGAGTTGATAGGTAAAGCGAGACTCGAATATATGTATCATCCATCTACCAGCATCTACAAACGGAATATATATCCTATTTAATAAAACTAAAAAGTTATTAATAATATATAAATATATTATTTGGCATGCAGACATATATAACATGTTTTTTTTATTAACCTGGATATCCAATCCGTTATGCGAGTCGACTAGTCTCAGGACGACCACCTATTTTGCAGATAGCCCGGAGTCACCGCATTTGAACCTCTGTGGCCACAAGGGATTTTTGTTCCTCCTTGGATTTAAACCTGAGACTTTCTGGTACTTTTGATATTTGGAGCCAAGTTCAAACCAATCAGGCACCACCCTTATAGTTCATATATAACATGTTATTTTCGGAAATAAATAAATATTTATTATATTGAATTTATATAAGAAATCGAAATTTTGTGTGTATTGTTTAATAAACCTAGGGCTCATTCCCTGGTACGATCTTTGTGGTGATTGAGGGGTAGGCTAAATTATATATGTCATATATTACATTATTATTACAACGATGTTATGTAAATATTTGAGTATTTATCAAAGGGTTTTTGGTTTAGCGGTATGTGAGTCATTTGCCTCCTAGGAGGTTAAAGGTTCAAACTTCACCAAATATAAGGAGAATGTGTGAGTTTATTTGTTTTATTTGTCTTATATAAATATTTATATACTTCTTTAAAAATTTGAGTATTTTATGAGATATTTATATTTTAAAGAATATATAATAATTTTTTTAAATAAAATTAAATGTGCAATAGAATAAATTATAAAATTGCATCATATAATATAAATTGTTTGATTAAATTTTTATAAATGATATAAAAACTTGTTGCAACATTAAGGGGTTGTTCACTTGCGGCTTAATTAGACTTATTGGTCTATCTGGCTTATTCGCACAACTCATTTGAGTTGTTTACTTACGGCTTATTCGCACAACTCATTTGGGTTGTTTACTTACGGCTTATTCGCACAAAACATTGCTTAATCGCACATCTCATTTTGGTTGTTTACTTATGGCTTATTCGTACAGAACATGACTTAATCGCATGGATAGAAATGATGTGTTGTCCGCATTCAGCCACAAAAATGACACTCTTACCACATATTTAAAGCACCGCCTCCTTCCCATATGAGACACCCTATCTTTGGCTTCTTTATGATTTTTTGTTTTGATGTTCAAATAATTAATATTGGGGGGTAAATCGGTTATTTATGTTATTCAGACTGTTAATTCAGATAAAAAAATTAAACAACAACACTCATTTATCCAGACATACAAATTTATCTAAACACACAAATTTATTTATACAAGACTTAATAAAAAATTTAATAAACAGCCTGTAAAAAAAACATGTATACCTAACAGACGCTATGACATCGCTGTCTTCTAATCCTTGATTAATATTTAAGATGGTGGGCCCATGGGTCAATCACAAAACATCTCACCAAAATTTAATTAATAATTATATACAAAATTTAAGTTTCTATGCTTAATGAGACCCTATTTCAAAAGCATCTCACCAAAAACACTCCACCGACGTTTTCGCTACTTTTGCGAACTCCGCGATAGTTGACTCGTTTTTGCTTACAATCTCCTGCACACCTCTCACCGTCTGTACCAACTCTCTGTAGTGAGAGCCTATCCAATACGATCACTGCAATTAATAAGAATTTATTACTGATAGTACAAACTATTCAATATGATCACGACAACTAATGAGAATTTCATTACTGATAGTATAAACTATATCTCATAAAACATGTTGAGAACCTATTCAATACGATTAGTGCAATTGATAAGAATTTCAGTACTGCACACGTCCCGCCCTCTCTATCAATTCTCTTGTTGAATGTTTATTAACCATTAACCATATTTTGTTTTATATATGTTAATGAATGAAAAACTGTTTATCAATGTATATCTGATGCATGGAGGTTTGTGAACCGAGTGATAGTCAGACTTAGACTTTATCAAGTGTTGAAGAAAGTGATATGAGATAATGAATCAACAAAAACCTACAGAACATAAGATTGCAGATGTCTGAGGAGGCTTATGCGGAAGTTCATGAGTCCCGTTTTTGTATTGACAACTATTTTGATTCCACATATGCAACTTAAACCTCTTTTAGAGTCGGTGCAATTGTGTTATGTTTAAGGGCACACAATAACAAGGTATAAAAACAAATATTACGGAGGTTCAAATGCGGTGACTTCGGGCTATCTGCAAAGCAGGTGGTCGTTCTGGGATTAGTCAGCTCGCATGCGGGTTGGATATCCAGGTTAATAAAAAAACAAATATTCTAATTTTTAGCTTTTGGATCACAATGGAACTGTTTGAGGTTGTGATATAAATAAAACCCTTATGGTGCGTTTGGTTTGGAGGGTTCTTTTTGAGGGATTTGGATTGGAGTAAATTTGAAATTATTGATATGTTTGGTTTGTAATATTTGAAATAAAATTGGATTTTATTATTTATAAATAATTAATAAAAATAATAATTAAATTACATTTTTATTAATCGATTACTACAAAAACAAATGTTTTTTTTTTACGTTTTTAAAACCTTATTTCATACAATCCTACAAAATTCCGAGCACTCCATAAGGATTTCAAAATCTTATTAATAACTAATATTTATTTATGATTAATTATAATAATTAATATTAATCAGAGTTATAATCAGGAAAAACTGTCAAAAAACTCCAAAACTCTTCATAAGCTACTTCAAGTAGCTTATCAATAACTCTTTCTAGTATTATAAAGCTCCATATCTTCTAGTATTATAAAGCATATGTCAAAAACTCTTAAAAATTATTTTTTATGCATAAAGTATTGTTTATTAATGCATGTTACTTAAAACTCAATATTACAAGTTGATTGTGCGTAAGTACAATTTATTAAAGTTCTATATCTGAATTTATGTAACTAACTTCAGATAAACATAATCAAATATATGATAAACATCTCATTTTAAATATAATTAGGATAATCATTGTATTCTAACATAATACTTAATTATTATATTTATAAAATGTTATATTATTAAACCAAAAATAAATTTTATTTATTAAACTTAAATTAAAAAAAATAAATTAAAGAAATTACATAAAAAATGAAAACTTTTAAATACTTGATTTGATATTAACATTGATATTTTTTTTCAAATTTTTATTCAAATTTTTATTTTATTTAAAAATGAAATCATTATTACTTTCTTAAAAACACATAAAATCGTATTATAACATCAATAGAGATAAAAAAAAAAAATGGAACATTAAAATCGAGATGTATCTTGCTGCATTGCGTGAATATCCTTCTAGTACTTAAAAATCAATTATTGTACAATTAAACAATTAGTACTATGTTTATAAAACTAATCCACTTAAAAAGTAATTTATTGAATTTTATATATATAGAATACCATATTACCAAATTTAGGTACAAAAGAGTCCTTTAATTATATTAAAATAGCAAAAAAAAAATAGATAAAATAAAAAAGAAAGTAAAGGGTAGTATCGTAAATCAAGAGGGAATCATGGTACGAAAAAAGGTGGGGATGCGTGAGGGTGACCAGTAATGAATGATTAAAAAGGAGGACGCGGGACAATTTACGAAAAAGTCCTTGTGAAAGATATAGATATAGTGAGAATCCAAGAAAAGGATTAAGGATATTGTAAGACTTGCTACTTTTGGCCATACAAACACTATTGGTTCAACACCAAAACGCCGCCGTCTCACTCTTCCCTTCTTACATGTCCTTTTCTTTTTCTTCAATCCCTCAGACAACACAATCCATTATATATACATATATATATATATATATATATAATAAGACGATGAGATTTTAAACGTCTTTGGATTTGAGAACGGTAAAATTAATTTAATTATATATACTGATATCTTTTTAACGGGTTACGTGTAATATGTAATTTATTTTAAATGGATATTTTCGACTCATATATACTGATATCTTTATAACGGGTTACCATAACATAGATTTGAATGAATATTTATTTTTGGACGGCCAGGATGAAGCGAAGAAAAGGAGATTGAAAGAGAGCCGTGGATGAAAAATGGGGAAGAACCCTAGACAAAATATCGGACCAAGTTTTTTGTTGGACCACGTGTCCGCTTTTCTGGAAAGTTTTAAACCCCCCAAAACTTGCTTTATCAGGAAACCCCAAACCAACCACGAGGTGCAAACCCATACGTGCCGTTCCTACCATCGCCACGGTGATACACTTCTCGTAATCTCATTGGTTTTCGATTGACCATGGGTCCCACACCAATGCTCTCCTCCTATTCGTAGATGAATGGGAACCGTCACGTGGGTCCCATTGCCACGTTTCAGTCTCCACCAATCACCTCTCTTCACTGTTCCTACATTTGTCGTCACACGTGGCCCCTTTCATTCTTTATATATGTTTACCACTTCTATTCTATCTTCCAGTATTCCTGCAGTGGGTTGAAAAGTATTCCAAAAAAAAAAAAAACACTTGACGACGGTGGTGGTGGTTTTATTCCGACGAAGAAATGAACGGTAGAGGTGGTTGTTGTATTGCAAGGCATGCAGGAGGTGGAGGTGGGATGTACGGCATGTCCAAGGTGGAAAGGATAATGCTTAAGTACAGGCCGATCGCGCCGAAACCGGTGGCTGCTGGATCGGGTTCAGGTGGTTCCACGACGGAGAACAGCGATGGTGGGTATGTTAAATGTGGAAGAGGTAAGAGAAAGTATGTTAGGGTTAACAAGAACAACAAGAAGAAGGATGATTCTAAGAGATGCAGTGGTGATGAGAAAAGAAAGATGTCAGCGTCGTCGTCGTCTCCACCGCCTCCATCTAGTGAGCAAGAATCTGTTTCCCGTGGTGGAGATGCGGTGGTGACACTTTCTTTGTTGCCGGAGACTCCAGATCGGAAAGGGAATTCACCGGTTTCAGATTTTCCAGATCTGTTATCAGCGGACCCGACAACAAAGGCGTGGAATTGTAATTGCAATAATAAGAAGAAATCAACGACACCTGTCTGGTTAAGCTTCAACAACCAGGAGGAAAAGGTACGTTACGGTCACGTGGGTAGGGTTGATCCTGATCCAGTTGTGATAAAACCTCCATCTCCACCGCTACCCCCACGACTGCAAGTGGTGTCACAGGTGACGGTGGAATGCGTGACAGACACATGGGTAGGCGTGGAAGGGCTAGGATGTACGGATGAAGAGAGGGTGAAGAACATGGAGAGGGACACGTGTCCAGGGTTCATATCTGACGGCCAAGACAGGGTGGTGTGGGCAAACAAGGCATATAGACAGATGGCCGGAGTTGGGCAGATGATCGGCGGAGAGGATATGTCGGTGGTGTTGGTCCGGAAGGATAAATGGATGGCAGCGCCGGTAACTTACCCAGCTTTCACGTGCAAGGTGAAAGTATGCTCCGCCGTTCACAGTCAGCATACAAGTAGTCCTTCACCGCCATCTCCGACATTAACGCTGCCGTGCGACGTTTGGAGGATGAAGCGCGGTGCCTGCGCATGGCGGTTGGACGTCAAAGCCGCCCTCAGCTTGGGTCGGTAAAATTAAAACCCTATGCATTAACTGGAAATATTTTGATATTAGGATTTTTTTTTTGTGTGTGCTTGAATTTCTCGGTAGTATATATATATATATATATATATATATGTATGTATGTACAACTGATAATAGTTGAAGAACTTGAGATATTTGTTGTTGATTATCATCATCATCATCTTGTTCTTATCTGTGAGTAGTTATATATATATATATATATATATATATGTATGAGATTAAGTAACAAAAAACAGTCCAAATGGGACTCAAATTAATCTAACAACAAATTAGGCATCAGATTTTTATTGAATGTAAAATTGTAAATGAAAATAAATTTTGTAGCATAAGTTTGGAGACATGTCGTGTTAAATGAGGGAAAGAAGGAAGTTCTTTTTATGGCCTAACATGTCGATAACAGGTGTACGGTCTAGTGTTGCCAACTCCTGTTCATCTCTCTCTCTCTCTCTCTCTCTCTATATATATATATATATATATATATGGTATCACGTGAGACCAGTCTATTTTCGTAAGATTCGTGAGACCAGTTTTTTACATTTGAAACTTCACAGTGTTTTTGCTGTGAAGATTCGATTTTTTTAAACCTTCTGTGAAGTTTCAATTGTAAAAATGTGGTCTCACGGGATTTTGGTGGCACATGAACCCAACCCTATATATATGTGTGTGTGTGTTTTTATGAATAAGAGTTAAAATATGAAGTTTAAAAAGGGATTTGGACATTTATCGCTTTTGATCCCAAAATAACCCACAAATTATGTTATAGAAAGGAATTGATCTACTGGTTTCTTTTCAAATAGATTGATTCAAGAGTAAAGATTCATTTTTACCCTTCTTACTATAACTTTTATATATATATATATATATATAGAGAGAGAGAGAGAGAGAGAGAGAGAGAGAGAGAAAATCAAGAGGTGTAGTAAATCAAAATCTGGTAAGATGTTAACATGTAAATGTTAATACATTAAGATACCTTAACTTGAACATTAACATGTTAATTTATGTAAACATGAACTAACAGAATATTTATTATTGGTTTTTCACTCTAACTCAACCATATATACAAAGAGGAGAGAGAGGGAAAAAAAAAGATAAGAGATGAAGGGCATTGTTTTGAGGACTTTCTAAAACCATAAAAAAGTATTTAATAAAGAAAATATATATATAAATTAAAAGAAGAATAAAAAATATTGATGTGACATCATAAGAATTGAGTATTGAGTTGTTGATGAATTGTGGTTGATTTTGAAATATCATACATTGGTGTGAGATTTAAAGATTGGAATAAAGATCTGTGTATAAGAAAGAAGAATGAGATTCATTCTGCCAACTTATGAGGTTGAATCATAAGGCTATATGTGTATATATGAAAGTAAGATCCACAAAAATAATGTGTAACCCTAAGAATTAAGTATTCTATATTTTTAGCATTAAATTTGTATCATAAATTGATGAAGAGATGAAAGTTTGACAATTGATGGTAGGTATATGATAGGAGGTTGAAGTGTTTTGTTTTAACTCATGGAGTTGGATTCTCTTGACTAATCCTATAAACTCATATTGTCGGCTCATGTTGGCTAACCCTCCAAACTCACAGGGCTGGTTCATTTTGGTCAACGCTCTATTTGCAAAAACCGTTATATATATATATATATATATATATATCTTTGCTCCAAAACCAGAACCCCAAAACTAATACCAAACCATATTTACAACTTTTGCTAGGTTAAAATTCACATGAAATCAATATGGTACATCCTCAAACACATCCAAAATGATTTCTCATCATGGGAATTAACTATATAACGAAAATAATTATTTAATGTGATTTACGAGAATGCGAGAACATTTGTGGGGTTCAAACTTTTTTAACCAATAATTTAAGTTATATCAAAAAAATAAATCATTAAGGTAATAATGTAATTAAGTATTTTTTATAATTTTTATCTTGTTTTAATTAATTGGAATTATCCCATCATTTTAGCTTGGGATCGATCATGTTGAGTAGAACGTCTATCGTTTTCGTCCCATCTTTTTCTCTCCATCGTATCTGAAATTTTTAAATCTGTTGATATAACAATGTGATAATCGTGAATCTAATCGATTCAACCACCAAAATTTCGATCACATTCATTTTGTATCCATTGGATATGATAACAATGTGACAATCGTATGATAATTGTGAACCTAATCGATTCAACCACCAAATTTTCCATCATAGTCGTTTTGTATCCATTGGGTATGATAACAGTGTGATAATCGTGAACATAATCAATACAACCACCAAATTTCCCATCACCGTCATTTTTTCCATTGAGTATGATAATAGTGTGATAATCGATAGAGTTGTGAGACTGAACAAAGTGCAGTCCTATTAGATGATAATCGTGTGATAATCTATACACAATTGAGTTACGATAATTGTGTGATTGTGGAACCTAACCGAACAGGAAAGATTGTCGTCGAACTTAAATACGAATCGTATCTTGTGAAAATTGTGTGCTACTCAACTCGTCTTTGGGTTAATGTATCACATGATTATCACACCCAAATATGAATCGAGTAGATACGTTAACCCTAGTTGAACCGATATATTGTACTTGGATTTCTTGTGATAACCGTATGATATCCGTACTCTAATCGAACCAAACAATCTTCAAATCGAGGGACTGTGAGCGATTCATGTTCTAAGTGTGATAAGCAAAATCTTGAATCAATTGTCTCTGCAAACTTCTCTCTCAAGCTTCTTGTTGTTCGATTTCTTCCTCCTATCTTCTTAAAACTTATGACACCTTCCTCTATTAACCAAGATAACCACCGTAGTCCATGTTGTTATCAGTTTCTAGATGATCGGAGTCTTTTTTTTATCGTGTTTTTAAAATATTATCACTTCGAATTCCAAGATTATCCTTTCGCCTCTCAAAACTTTTTGAATTGTTTATAATATTATTTTAAATTTATAAAATCCCTTAATTTTGATTGTTATCACATTACTTGGCTGATAGATTGTTCTCGCATTCTCGTAAATCATAGGGGTTCTTTTTTGAATCATTTGAGGGAGTTTTAAATGCAAACCATTCCAACCAATTTCAACCGTTCATTTAATCTAATGAATATCTGGTTTCATATATAAATATCCAAATTGTTTCCTAATATAAAGCGCTCATTATATTTAATGAAATTTAATCATTTAACAGAAATATCCAGTTAATCAACTCTCATCATTTCGGTAAATATTTCAATTCATTGGTTCGGTACAAATGACAATGTTTGTATTTGAAAACCTTCTCTATATATGTAAGGGAGAGACTTCTTACAAATCCAATGATTAGTACAAACCATAGAAACCAATTAATTGAGATATTTATAAAAATGATGAGAGTTTATTTATTATGATTTGGTTATTTATGAAAGATTATCAAAGTTAATTTATACTACGATATAAAACATTTGACAAAAACTCTTGAAAACCATTTTTTATGCATGAAATACAGTTTATTAATGTATATTACTTAAAATTCAAGGTTGCAAACAAACTGTACGTAAGTACAACTTATTAAAGCTTCATGTTTGAATTCGTGTAACTAATTGCAGATAATCATAGTCAAATACAAGATAAATATTGCATTTTAAATATAAAAAATCTAAAATATAATCAAGATAATAATTGAATTCTAACAGAATACTTAATTATTACCGTTATAAAAAATTATATATTAAATAAAAAATAAATTACTTCGTTATTAAATCTAAATTTAAATTATAAAAAAATAGAAGTAAAGAAATTACACGAAAAACAAGAGTTTTTAAATAGTTAATTTGATACTATTGTTGATATATTCATTTTCGAAATTTTATGATATTTTCAAATTTATATTTTATTTAAAAATAAAAACATTATCCATTTCTCAAAACCACATAAAACGGGATTAAAACATTTACAGAGACGGAATAAAACGAAACATTAAAGTCGAGATATATCTCGCTGCATTGCGCGAGTACCATTCTAGTTTATTATAATGAGCGCTTTACATTATAAAACAATTGACATATTCATTGAATCATATATTCATTTGACTAGTTAGATGAATAGTTAAGATTAATGTGTATATTTGTATGATTCATATAAATGGTTGAGTTTGTAAATGAAACCATATGTGTGTGTGTGTAGGTATGTATGTATGTATAGAGGAATGATCATACGAGAAGTTAAACATTTTGGACAAAGGCAATAAGTTTCAATGTCATATATAAGTATACTTATTTGGATGTGTTTAATCATATATGATTAAGCGTTTATGTGTTGTCAATGCAACATGTGCTTAATCATATATGATTAAGCTTGTGTATCATACATATAATCATATATGATATTGAAACTTTTTATTATAATTGTTATATACTACAAATGTACCAATACTATGCAAATGGTACCTTCCTAACTTGCAGACTTAGTTAAAAGAAAATAAAAATTACAGATTCAGCCGAGGTCCGCAAGTGACACCTCCCTAACTTGTGGACGTGACACGTGTCATTACAAGGTGAAACCCTAATTTTGATGCATTGAAATTGGTAGGTCCGCAAGTTACACATCCGTTTTTTTTTTTTTGTAAAAATCTCATTTTTTCTACATTTACCATGCATGTTTTACTTGCGGTTGTTCACTGTTTTTTCAAACTCGTACAGTAATAATACAGCTTTATCAGATGATTGAATTGATATTTGTTGGTACAATTTGATTCATTAATTAGAGGTATAAACAAATGAACGATAAATATTGACCCCCATAAGTGAGTCGAGCGTCTGGAGTCTTATGATACTGTTATTGAATGAACAATTGTGTTTTGAGATTGAATAACGGGTCTTTAAAATTAGAAGCTTTAAATCATGGTTCTCCAAAATAAAAGTTTCTGTAACAGCCTAACAGGGTATGTAACCGTCAATTCCATAGACAATTTACAATGTCGTGTCCCTAAAAGTATCATGTAAAAGATAAACCAAATACATAACAACTGGTTTGATTTAAAAATAGAAGTTTTTGATTCATGTTTTTGAAAAATTGAAATTGAAATTGAAATTGAAATTGATAATAAATTTAAGGATAACAATAGATTTCTCACAATAAATATAACCTTTTCAAATGTACGAATAAAAAGCCCAATTTTCATTGTGAGGCCCATTATCGTTTATCGTATGATAACATTGATAAGTGGTTCATTGTATTTTTACTCAATTTAATCATATTAGTATGGGAACTGCATATTGTGCGGTAGTATGGGTATTTTGATTAATGATTTGAGTATTGTCTATATAAATATATATTAATTGTTAATAGAATCATCAACAAATCGTATTCAAATAATTCGAAAAAGTTATATAATATATAGTTAGTGACTTCAAATCTTTATAACCCAATAGAGATAAAATTATAATGCAATCAAAATCACAACATGAACATACAAAAAATTATAGTACGACTAAACTTACGATAAAAACATACTTAAAAATATAATCTAATCAAAATCATGATACAAATATACACAACATTCTAATACACTCTAAATTACAAAACAAACTTGCATAAAACCTATATATTTATGCAACTCATCACATTTGTAGAACCAATACAGTCCAATCAATTGAGATATTTATGGAAATGATGAGAGTTCATTTATTATGATTTGAATATTTATGTAAGATGACTAAGGTTCATTAATTGTGATCAATACTTTATATTAGAAAATAATCAAAACTTTTATGAAATCACATATTTATCAAATTAAATGTACGGTTGAAATTAAGTCTTATTGGTTGTACAAATGTAAATGGTTACATAACAACTCACCTATATATGTGTATGTGTGTGTGTGTAACACCTTCAATTATGGAAAGAACGACTAATTAAAAATCTTGAACAATAAAACTAGATTTAACACAACAAGAGGCTCCATGGAGACATGTGACAAAGAACACATGGAGAAAGGGTTTCATGTGGATCTACAACGACGAGTATAGAGGAGGGCCTGCAGATGCAGAACCAAGCAAGAGGGAGGGATGCAAATGGAGTCACGGTTCGGTTCAAGAACCCATATCTGTTTCCTCTTTCTATGTTTTTTTGTTTTGTCTCGTGTTTATTTTTTATATATGCTAAGAAAACCATTTCTGTCTCTTCCTTCTTTTTATGATCTAAGTTTTAGATTTTATATCATAAATAATTCTAAGAATGAATTTATGATTCTATATCACAAATTAGATTCTTTAGATATACGTTTATGTTTTTTAATCTTGATTTTAATGTTCGTTTATTAAAACTAAACTTATATTGTTGATATTTAAGTAAATAAAAAAAAACTATTAAAATAAAGAAAATGATAAAATAAGAATTTTATTTTATGTATTTTACAAATCATATGGATAAAATCCGTAATTTACTCTACTGTGTCATTTAGAAGAAAAGTATCAACACCGACTCCAGAAGAGAGCGAAGATAGGCCACAAGATTGGAAACAAAGTCAAACATTTTAACGGTCGAGATTCGCTCAAAGAGACGCACAATCTCTCTGTAATTGTATAGATATATGTGCGAGTGTTTTTTTCTTGATCACGCGCGTTTTATCGATTCGCCAGCGAGGGAGGGGTTTTTCTAGGGTTTCAAGAACAGACCCTACCTCTGTATCCGATTCCAATTTTGTTTTCCTTTTCCTTTATTTGCTCATAGATCCACGTTTTGAATTGGATTCTTTGAATACATTATCCAGTGTTTCAATTTGCATTCATTTCTGTTGTTTCTTTAATTCGTTGCTTATTCGATCTAGTGTTGTTTTAGTCGGCGGTCTCTAGGGTTTGATATCGCTATCTGATTCTTACAACTTTTTGATGCATCTCTTTGAATTGTTCTCGATCTGGATCGACGTTGACGAATCTCGTCGCTTCGGGTAACTGTTGAAAGATGTTGACTTCGATTCCTTGGATCAAGGGGTAAAGCTTGGCGAATCTTATTGGCTTGCTCAGTGAATGCTTTCGAGGTTAGGGTCCTCAATTCTATTTGTTTGCTTTTACTTTTGAACGAGTGTCAAACAATCCCTAGATAGAACATTCATTATATAAAGCTTCTCTCGAGTCTGAATCTGAACCCTATGAAGAAGATGGACATTTTATGTGTTTTAGCTATGCAGGATTTTTTCCGAATTGGTGAAAGGCATTTCATATGGGACTTGATTGTTGCACCTCTTGGGGCTTCTTATGGCACCTACTATTTCTATAGAGTTTGCTGGACATAGAGAGTCAAAGAAGCTCTCACAAAAAGTTGTCTCACAGATGATGGGGAAAACTAGAAAAGTTTCTAAAGGGTACCCAAGGGGGTTTGTTCCTGACTACCGCCATGCCGTTGAGACCATGGCTGAATCAGAAGACTTTGGCGGATCAGGGTGGCTTAATGCCGGGATCACTGCTTCGGAAGAACTCCGTGCCCCCAAAAGGAAATGCATTAGTTTGACTGGAGATGCATCCGAACAGTTTGGGGTCCCTTTCCAAGTTTTATCTTTGTCAAAATTGTCTAGTTTTCAGAGGAAGGATTTGACCATGAGGTTGAAACATGAGCTTGAACAAGTTAGGACATATCAGAAGGAAATTGCTAAGGTTAGCTCTGGTGATGTGGCTTTGTTTCCTTCCAGTAAACCCGTGTCCCGTGGCATGAAGCGGGCTCCACCTCCTGGGCAGAATGCTGGGGGTCGCGCGAAGAAACAAGCATCAGGTCGTCTTGACCCTGTAAACAAGGCGTTGCCACCGGTCTCTGGGAATGCGATGTTGATGAAACAGTGCGATACACTGCTGAATCGGTTGATCGGGCATACTTATGGTTGGGTCTTTAAGGTTCCTGTAGATGTGGTAGCCTTAAAAATTCCTGATTACTATACTGTCATTAAACATCCGATGGATTTGGGGACTGTGAGAACTAAGTTAACTTCAGGTAAGTATGCTGATCCATGGGGTTTTGCAGCTGATGTTAGGCTGACATTTTCAAATGCACTCACTTATAATCCTCGTGGAAATGATGTGCATATGATGGCTGAAACAATAAGTAAGTTTTTTGAAGTGAGATGGAAACCAATCGAGAAAAAGCTATCACCGGCCGCAGAGGCAGTAGCTTCTCCAAAACAGGCTGTGCTCATGGAAACTGTAACTGCTGTACCCATTTCTCCTATTGAAAAAAAGAAGAGGGCATCAGTTGACAGTGAAATTAAGCAAGTACCAGCTAAGAGAGTCATGTCTGATGTTGAAAAGCACAAACTAAGCTCAGAATTGGAGGAGTTACTAGCAGATTTGCCTGAAAGCATTATTGATTTTCTTAAAGAGAACAGTTCCAACGGAAACCAAACAACTGAGGATGAGATTGAGATTGATATTGATACTCTCAGTAGTGATACACTGTTAAAATTGAGGAGCCTTCTAGATGAATATGTGGCAGACAAACAGAAAAACACGGTAAAAGCGGAAACTTCTGAAATTGAGGTACACTTGTCCACTTTTACTGCCCCACCCTCGCGCACACACTTAGAAGTAAATATGGCAAGATAACACACATACAAGAAGCGGAATATCAGTGATGTATTTTATTTCTATGTCATGGCAGCGTCACGAGTTGGGGTTCAGCAATTCATTGATGCAACCCTGCAAAGGTTGTATCTCCATCAAAACTTAGATCTAAAGTGCCTTTATGAGGAGGTTTTTTTTTGCTGATTTTTCATTTCTTGTTAATTGTAATTTGTAGCTAATGACCGTAACAAAGAGGATTTAGACATTGATGGAAATGATTTGCCAATCTCAACTATCTCTCCTATGGTGCTAGAGAAAGATTCAGCTGTCAGAAAAAGTAAAGGCAGTAATTCAAGTAGCTCCAGTAGTGAAGATGGATCGTCCTCTGGTGGTTTGTGTTATTGTGATCCCTTTAAGTTCTCATTTGTGAACTGTTATATCCTCATTTCTTGTGCATTAGTCCTACAGTTCCTTCATGTAATTATGGTCGCCTGTTTTGTGATTTGTGCTTCCTGTCCCCTTGTATGTGCTACTTATTTCCGTTGTTGTCAGTTTACTTGTGCACCCACTCTCATCAATATATTACTCGCTTGTTGTATCTATTTGTTCCGCAAGCTGGGGTCTTTAAGGAAATAACCTCTCTACCCGTCGGGGTAGTGGTAAGGACTGCCTACTTCTTACCCTCCCCAGACCCTACGTCTATCCCACTGGGTCTGTTTCGTTTCGTTTGGTTTATTTGAGTTGGTGGGAAGCATGCAATTATGGTCTTCATGTTTGTGGATTGTGGACTTGCCTACATTCATGAGTTTTGTAGATCCATCTTGTGATGGATGCTACTTTGATTGTGATTGCTCATTTTCTGTTTTGAACTATCTCATCTTATTTGCTGCTTGGTGTCCTTATTCATTTCATACCATAAATGCAGCTCCAAACTCATTGTTTGATACGATATCTAACCATGATGTTTTAATCGTCCATGCACATCTCACATTTGGTTCTTGTGAATTTTCTGCGATCGACATGTCTTTAGGACAGATGCATGCGTCATGCAGCTTGTAGTGGTGATAGGGTTCAAACTTGCCTTCTTTTGTTTGTAATTTTCTATGCATGTTATGTGTATTGGTGAGGTCAGATTTAGCCTGAAAAGGGTTCTTTTTTGGCTCTTTTTCCATAATCAGATTCTGGCACTTCTACAGGCAGTGATGCTGATGATGCCAAAGCGTCTGCTGTTGTGAATAATGTGAAGGTATGTTCTTCACATGCCAGCTTATGCTGGTATATCATTTCTTAGTCGAAAGCAGTGCAACTGAAGTTTAAATGCTTCCCATCTGGCTCTTGACGCTTTTTCTGCTCATTCTTACGTTAGTTGACATTGGGCTCTGAAAGGATAGCTATCCCGAGTGCCACTGAACCTGAAAACCGTGAGTACAATATATCAAATCTGCAGCAATTTTTGCAAGTAGTTATTATGAATGATGGTACGCTCTTGGATGTTATTAAATTATGTGGCCATGTGGGTTTCCAGAATCCGCAAACGGGGTGAGCCAAGTTGAGCAGAAGTCTCGGTCCAACCCCATTTCTGGTGAAGTTGATGATCGTCAAGAGGGTAAGCAATGAAACCATGAAGAAACTGTGTGCTGTTAGTTTCACAGCATCTTCTCACCCCCAGTGCTATAATAAAACATTTTAGGGGAGAGTGCTCAATCCGAGAGGCAAGTCTCTCCCGTGAAGCTCTATCGTGCAGCTCTTTTGAAAAGCCGTTTTGCTGACACCATACTGAAGGCTCAAGAAAAGACTACTGGAAAGGTAGTAATTCGAAGCTAATCACTTGCTTAACTGATTCAATTTTATTCCGACCTGATATAACTTTGGACGTTTCAGGGAGAGAAGCAGGATCCTGAAAGATCGAGACTTGAGAAGGTGGAGTTAGAAAAGCGAAGAAGAGCAGGTTTGGTGTAGCACATCAAAGAATATGTGCATTGCTGCTCATCATTTTACTTTGTTTTTTTTGATGTTGTATCTTGTAGCTATGGTTAATTTTTGAAGTTCATGATGTTTAGAAAAAGCTCGGTTACAAGCAGAAGCGAAGGCTGCAGAAGAGGCACGAAGAAAGGCTGAAGCAGAAGCAGCAGCTGAAGCCAAGAGGAAGAGAGAAGTTGAGAGGGAAGCAGCACGTCAAGCTCTACAAAAGGTATATTGGAAAGCTCAGTTGGCTCTCGGAATAGAATGATGATTTCTAATGTTAAATTTTTATTGTGGTTAGATGGAGAAGACAGTTGATATCGATGAGAATTCCCAGTTTTTGGAGGATTTGGAATTGCTTCAGGCTGCACCTATGGAGCCTTTAATAGATGAAACAAGCCCGGTTCATTCTCTAGATCCTTTGGGGAGTTTTAAGTTCCAGGGAAATAGTAATCCTCTGGAGCAACTTGGTTTGTACATGAAGGATGATGATGAAGAAGAGGAAGAAGTCAAACCAGATGCTGCTCCAGCTTTGATCGATGATCCCGAGGAAGGAGAGATTGATTGAGAGTGGGTTTGTATGGTTTTGCTGGGCTTCTTTTGGTGCTTTCCATTGTATAAAAAGAGAGGATTCTTTCAGCAGCAGCTACTGAAGGTACAAGATTTCGAGTGGGGAAAACAAGTTTTCTTTGTTGTTTTTTTGTGCATTTCTGCAATTTACACTGGATACAAATCAAAGTGTTGGGACTTTATATTGGGAAAAACAGAAATAGTCCCAAATGAAAGTGATGCCTTCTTGTGATGTGAGAGCTGGTTTTTAAGGTTATAAAGCTACATGGTCTTCCCCTACAGAAAGAGGAAAGAATTGGTTCTGGTTGTTTTTAGGTTCAAACCATGACCATTTGTTCATCGATAGCTAGCAGGTGCACGTTGTCATGTTATTTGCAAAGAATATAAATGAAATAAACACAACTTCATCGGCAATTGTGTGTTTGGTACGTGAGGCAGGACATGATATAATAAAAAACTTGTGTTCAGGATAGGACTTTGTGGGGGGGGGGGGGGGGCCAAAATGCATTTTTACAGCCCAACAAAATAGGTGAAACAAAAATAAGGGAGATTTGGGTAAAGTTGGGATCAATTGGACATTTTTTTGAGGAAGAGAAACTAGGATGGATGTTTTTTTCATTTGATATGTGCTGACTGGATGCTTACTCGTGTGATCAATCAATAGACTGCAAATTACGGCTTACGTCACTTGTCTATCCCGTTCAGTCCTATCTATGTATCTAAAACATCCAAAAAATGAATTATGTAAGGTTTGTACCCGTCTACTGATGTGAGAAACTGAGGAATCAAGTGTCAAAAATTTCACTTGTTCACGAATAATCGGCATTCAGATGAGATTAGAAATAACAGTGTTGAGGTTAGAAATAACAGTGTCAGAGCAACATATCAGAAAGTGTAACTAAGAAGTTGTTTGGTTGTTTTCCATTAAGTTATACAGATTAAGCTAAGTTGCTTTATTTTATTGTATAAAATATGTTGGGTCCACCATAAAAAGAGAAGGGCCTTTGTTCACGAATAATAGGCATTCAGGTGAGGTAACGAGGGCGGCTGAATTTAGAATCTGAAAGTGAAATATATGACGGTAAAAGCTAATGGTGAAAGCAATGCTTGATAGATTATTAGAGGTGACGTTTACCAAATGTTTACCAAAGTAAGTGCTTACCAAGTCACTTTACTTTACTAGATGAATATGATAATGACTAAAAATCTTACCCGATAAGAGCAAAGACAATAATCGCGAGCTTTACCCGGTAAGTGAGAACGAATACTCTTACCGGGATAAATTGCTGCATACGATGCGTTTTAGTGAATATAATCTTACCTGGTAAGTAAGCGATAGTGTTGAATTTTACCGGTAAGTGCTTACCGGGTAAGTGTTTAGGTAAACGGCCCCCGTCATCTTCCAGTTTTTCATCATAATCTGGGCTGCGGCCTGCAACAACCCAAAAACTGATTTGAGAATTCAGAGTTGAACAATGTATTCATGAGGTTTAAGAAAACTTAATTGGGAGCACATAAAAGTTCCTGCAAGTCAATAACCCCCTTCCATTGAAACATCATCACCAAAAGTAAGAGCATGTCCTAATAACTCAATCTACAATGTAAGTTAAGCAGGTATACACACGGAAGGGGGGGGGATTAAGATGTATATAGACTTGACCTCTACCCTAAAGAGTAAAATGGTTGTTTCTTGGATACTGAAACGATTATAATTATTCCTTGAATCTACAAAACATGAGATGGATAATTGGATATATCACTACCCCCTCTATTATTCCAACCTATTATGTTTTCATAGCACCATAAACTTTCAGTTATAAGCTTATAATATGTGAAGAAGAATCTTTTTAGGTGCATTTCCTTTGCAATACCAAAAGAGCCAAAGGGCAGCAGAGCAACATTGGGGTTAAAAAGAACATTATTTGTGATAAATTCTGTTAATATCGTTCTGGGGTTACTTATTGAGTTATGCTTTACCAAGAAGGTCGGGAATACGTGCTTAAGTTAGAACAAAATTTGAGGCAAGTTCTGATGAACAGGTACAAGTAAAGACATCTGGTCCAAATATCAGTTGTGAATACGAATTATGAATCCCCATATAAAGACCTGGTAGTTGTTTACCACTAATAACTTACTATCATCGTTTTAGTTAGCTTCCAGGTTACTACAGATAAGTCGATCCATTTGCAGAAAGTAAAGTTTTGATCCCATTTCTACAAGGTTTATTTTCCGAGGAAATGGTGTAAGAAATTAACAAATTACATGTCATGATGCTGCAGCAATTAGGAAAGGGTATTCAACATGTTCATACTACAACTAGTCTCAAATTTGAGAACCTTACTAAAATCTAAATATATGATGGGATGAATTCCATAGTTACATGTAGTGATTGATGGCTTACCAACAAAATGATCATTGGCTAGCAATTTTAACAATAGAAGCATGAATGGCACAAAGAGCATAGTAACTTCTCCCTGAATGTGGCAAAAAGTTGCTAGACATATACCGGGAACAGAACGAACTTTACCATCTACAAAACCTTGAATTCATCGACCTTTGGGAGCCTACCCTCCCCTCCTAATGAATTTCTCAAACAGAACATAATTTGCACTAAAATGTTCAGTAAAAGGCTTACCTCCTTAGCAACTTCTTCAGCATCCTTTGATGATCTTGCATAATTCACCAAAACCTTAGAAAATAGTGAAATAAGCAATCATCAATAGCATTCAAGGATCATATTGAAAAGCTCTGTGCAACACATACTTCAAACACATTAATTTTGAAGAGACTACTTCTACTTTCGAGCATCTCATGCACCTGCACGTAAGGGAGTTTCTTACTGATTGTACAGGAACCTTCTAACAGGAAGTAGTTTTTGACATATACGGGTAAAAATAAATACTAATGGTTCAATTTACTAGAAAGTAATATACTTGATGACAATTGTCCACATTCTTATTCTACCCGTAACTAAGTTACTAGGTGAAATATGTCAAGATAAAACAACGCGGTTGTGTTGATCACCTTGAATACTATCCAAAAGTTAATGGGAAATTAAACATCAGTCCATATAAACAAACACTTGGTATATAACTCAGTAGTCTTGCAAAGACAACTTCTAACACCCAAAAAGAAACAGAGATAGATAGAGGCAGGGAGATTCACTAGTATCAAGATCATCTTTTGGTGGGTGCAGTGCATACCAGAATAGGATCAAGTGATGTTTGTGCCTGTGCCCATATCCATTTGCATAACCTAGCTGAATTCAATAGACAAGAAATACAAATTAACTTACTCTACAACCAGATTTTCTCAAAGTCAATGCAATAGCCCTGAAAATCTCCCTTGAACTAGAAGCTCCAGTGGAAATAGAAATAGGAGCTTCAACAGTTTGCACAGCACCCAGACTAGCTGGATCAACCTTAGTTACATGATTCCTGGCACCTGTTCATGCCATTCGTCTTAATGATAAGTCAAGTACCTAATCACACCAAAGGATAATTAATGTAGATAGTGTGGTTCCAAATTCTAACTCAATCTCCCTAAAGTATGAGCCACGGAAACACGACAATGTCCCTACTGTATCAAAACATTGAAGAGAGATGCAAATTTAGAATAAAATGTAAATGAAATACTAATTTTACAACAGAAGCCTTTGAATGATACCTTAAATCCGCCAAGAAAACGACGGCTGGAATTGCAAACTAGGCATTGATTGCGAGACAAAAAGCTAGAAAAGACGAAAAATGGCGACGATAATGATAGATTTGACGACAAATCGGTGAAGTGGTGAAAAAACAAGAATCTGGACGGAGTTCGAAGAGAATTGAGAGCAGTATCGGCTGATATAGCCATCTAAAACCTCTCCGACAGGAGATGTCAGGTCAAAAATGAATCATTGATGAAATCTCCGGCGACTACCATGAACAAAACGGAAAAATGAACTTAATTTAAAATCCGGTCGTTCACGAATTACTATTTACATTCTAGTCCTTACGCTTCATGAAAATTACAAGATTTGTCCGATAAGTTTGGCATGCAAAACGGGAGGAGACACGTAGCCATGAGAATGGGTCCGACCCATTGGGGAACCTGGTCCACCCGTCTCGGTCGGGATGAGGATTCCCCACTAAATCGACGATGGGGATAGGGACAGGGATCTCTGCAGGGACAAATATCATACTTCCCGCCCTGCCCCGTACACGTTATATAAATATAAATATATATATATACATATATATATATATATAGGTTGGTTATTATACAACCCTTGACATTTGTGTAACCAATACAACCCAATCTCAACCGTCCATTTCATTTGATTAATATGTGATTTCATAGAAGTTTTGATTATTTCTTAATATAAAGTATTGATCATAATTAATAAACCATATTCATCTTCCATAAATATTCAAATCATAATAAATGAACTCTCAACATTTTCATAAATATATCAATTTATTGGGTTGCATTGGTTGTACAAATGTGACGGGTTGTATTTGAAACAAACTATATATATATATATATATATATATATATATAT